GTAAAACTTGATAACTGCCATAATTATGATTATTATCAGTGTGATGTTTACAATGGTTATTGTTAAGAGTACTGGTGTAATTAGTACCATTATAATGGATAGAATATCAAAATGAGTTTAAATATGAGTGTTAGTTTACTTTGTAATAACTAAAATGATTATTATTATTATTATGACTATAATCTCTATTAATTCTAATTATCTCTACGAGCTTTGAATCAGAATGAGAAGATTGTCTACTTTGTGTGTGTGTGTGTGTGTAATGACAAGGACCGGATATGATTTTTAACATTTATAATTATGTGATATAGCATTATTATTGATGTATATGTATCTATTCTATGCATATATGTATATATGTGTGTATGTATTGAATTATAAGTATCTAAGATAAATAGTCAATATTAAACCAATAATGAAAAATGAGGAAATGTATATTATTGTACATGTGGTAAATGTGATAATAACATAGAAACAGAGAGGGATTAATAGAAGTTAATTCTAAAAACAAAAAAAACAAGAACATTACAAAAAAGGAAATGAAATGAACTCTTACATATCATTGTTAAAATATCTATCTATCTATCTATATTTAATATAGACATAATGATCAGTATAGAGTAAGTTACATTTTAACAGATCAGTAGTTACTAATCATAGTTAATTTATTAAATTGAATTTATTTTCTTCTTTGACCAGTTATTCTAAGTTGTTGTTGTTTTTGTTGATTATTTCCATACACTGATAATGTCAATTAGTAGTATAGACATGAAGGAGAAGAAGAAGAAGAAGAAATGAATATGTATAGAATAGATATACATATATTCTACAAATATTTGATATGATAAGGAAGAGATCATGAGAATAAGAAGGAAATTTATGTCAAAAATGTAATAAATTCAAAACAAAAGCAAAAAAAACGAAACGAAGTACAACTGGATACAGAATTGAATCAATGTTTTTTAAAACAATAAATTACATTATCTGATTACTTCATATACATGTTTCATTTAGAAATCAGATATTGTGGTGAAAATATGTGACTTTATTCTAGATGATATAATGATATCAATTGGTATAGAAGTATTCAATAATGTGTAAATAGGTTTGTTCTATTATATACAATGATACTTATTAAAGTTTTATTATAAGTATGGTATCTTAAAAACGTCATAATGATAATGATTAATTCATATTGTGTTGTGGGTTACTTATATCCACATAAGTAGTATATAACAGTGGCCAGGCATAGAATGTATTTCAGTCGAAGATTAAAAGGGAACAGAACGAGAACAGAACGCAATCGGCATAAAAATGCAGGAACAATGAAATTTGAGACAATGAAATGATATTTGCAAAAGGAACAGTCAAATTTAAGATGATGGATTGATATTTCACAAATTAAGTATTTACTGTATTGTTTGCAGGTTTTAATGAGATATTTTGTAATTTCATATTCAAATACAGTCGATTGTCTGCAATCGTGTTCACTACAATGTTTATTCGATGTGTATAATGGAATCCAGAAAAATTTAGTTGATTTGAGTATACTACTGAATAGACTACTTTTGAAATCATAATCATTCATTGTTTGAATTGTTTACGCATGTTTAATAAGTGTCAAAAATTGGTAAGAGTAATAATAAACTATTTATTTCTATTACTAGTATTGTAGTGAATAAACGTTCAGGTAGGACAGATTAATTTACTATTCAGTTTGAAATTATGGAAGACATATATTAATTACTTCATTTGTATATCTCCCTTAAGTTATTCTTTACATAAATCATGATTCTTTCAATTCTGTTTTCTTTTCAGTTCAGTCTTTTCAATCCTTCTTGACAGGTATTCCACTTCTAATTGGTGTCACATACTACTAATATCTGTCAATATAAGTAGAATACACTACAGTATCTGTTAGAATGTTTTTCAAAATTGAATTGTAAACAGTAGATAATATCAAATGATGAGAAAACTCTAGTATATTTCGTTATTGTCGGTGAAATAAAAAGCTCGTCATCTTACATTCCAAAACTTAAATTAATGTAATTTTAAAACCACTAGGTTTCAATGGTACCACTGATGTACTACAGTAGAAAACCATTAAATTATATTTTCTATATCGACTCATTCAACAGTTTTCCTGAATAGTTTCACTGATGGAATGTAACTTTCAAAATTGATATTTTATTTTGTTTATTTCTTTTACGAATTAATTTATATAAAAATATAAAACTAGTTTTATACGAATTCAAAATTTCAAAGTCTACTCTCAAATTTAGATTGAAAATGAAAATGTTAGTTTATCAATGTTGAAACTGCATCTCTATTCTTATATTTTGATAAAGAATCTAAGCATCATTCTTAATCTATAACACGTAACGAATAATATTCATTATTTATTACAGAAATATATGATACTGTGGTGTATGCTACTGATGTCGACTGATATAAGTAGTATGGATCACCAATCGAAAATGCGATGCCTGAAGGCAAAATATCAAGCAAATCAAAGTGAAGAGATTGAGAACAGAAAGTGATTAGTATGGAAACAAAGGAACAATCAAGTTTGAGACAATTGATGATTATTTTGCAAATGAAGTATTTACTGTATGATTCTCAATTTTCTTTATCAAGATATTTTGTAATGTTATATTATAACACATTTGATTATTCCCCATTTGATGTTCTTGTTCATAACAACAGTAATAATATAAGTACAAAAAGTGAAAAATGAAACTCATATACAGTTTAACTTTAATTCATCAATATCATTAACCTTCATTCAGTGTAACATGAACAAGTAAAAACAACATCAAATGAATTTCAACTTCACTCCATTGCACAAGAAGGTGTCTAGTAGGACTCAGTAGCTAAGTGGATAACGTGATGGTGTTTAAAGCGAACGGTACTGGGTTCGAGTTCAAGAGTGAACATTAACTCTGAGATGCAGGTACATCCAGATGACGAGTTTCACATAGGATGAAACGTGAATCCTGGATACCACTGCTAGCTACTATCAATTTTTGCATAAAAAGTTTATGAATTAAGGCTATATCAAAGCAATCCGCACAGGATGCACATATGCCAACGTGAAACTGATCAATTGCAATCCTAAATAACAATGGGAAAAGTTACAAGTTAAAACAATACCAAGTGAATTTAAACTTCGCCCTGTTGCAAAAGCAAGTGGCTATCAGGACTCAATAGCTAAATGGGGAACGCGATGTAGTTTGAAGTGAACGATACTTGGTTCGAGTCCCAGAGTGAACATCAACTTTGGGATTTAGGTACATGAAGTTGACGAGTCTCAAATGGCACGAAGTGCGCATTAAACTGGATTCCATTACAAGCCACTATCCATTTTTGCATAAAAATCTATATCAAAACAATCTGTACAGGATGCACATATGCCAACATGAGACTGATCAATTACAATCTTAAATAACAATGGGAAAAGTTACAAGTTTAAAAATATACCAAATAAATTTAACTCTTGTTTTTGTTTGTGTCAATTTATTATTAAAAAGTGATATTTATATCTTTTCATTAATATTACAAAAAATAATAATAATAATAATAGAAAAACAAAATCCCTTGAACATTGAAAATTAATCTAATTCAATAGTTCAATATTCATTATTTCTCAATATATTTGTTAGAATGAATTATTTACCATTATCATTATCATCACCATCATCAGTAACAGTAATAGCAGAAACATTGTGGTTATTGTTATATATATATATATATATAGTATTTAATCAGCTGTTAATTTATTTAACATCTGCACATCTGAAATCTATACTTATAATGGTCATTTTCTATAATATTGAAATGAACAATAAACAAGACCATGAAAAAAAGAGGGAGAACAAGAGAGAGAGAGAGAGAGAGAGAGAGCAACAAAGTAAGCAACAACATGAGATGGTCATGAATATGTTTACAAGTTTAAAAGATAAATTCTTATTAGGAGCCAAAACCAAAACGTAAGAAAAAAAACAACAAAGAAGTAAACAAAACAACTCACAAGGTATAAGTTAAATTACAAAAAAGAAATGTAGATAACTAACTGTCTAAATTGTTTATTCAAAAGAAATAATTATTTTGTTAATTATTTACTTCATTCATAAGGATCTTTGTATAAAATAGAAAAGGAATCTATGTCAAAATCTTTGAAGATGTTTACAAGTTTAAAAAAACATTAGGCATTAAACTAGTAATAATAATAATAATAATAATAAATCACCATTAAAATGATAAATGAATTAATAAATAACTAGTTTCATCCTCTTTGTTTGTTTGTTTGTTTATTTCTTATTTTTGTGAACATTCAATGTTTCAGTTCATGAAACATTGAACATTGAAATTGACCGATTAAAACAAAATTATGAGAATAATAACAATAATAATAATAAATGTGTTTCGTTTTCACTATATTCAATGGTGATTTATTAATTATTAAATAATAAATAAATTAATTAATAAAAAGAATTTATATTATGTCATCAAATTGTTCCTTCTTTCATTTATTTGAAAGAGGAAAACAAAACAAACAAACAATTTTTATAATTGACATTTATCAGTTAATTAAAATATTGAATAGATAATAGAAATGAAATATGTTTTGGAAAATAATTTGCCAAATTAATGGTTAAATAAATGATAATAAATAATAATAATAATAATTCGTGCTGCTGAGGAGTCTTACAATGGGACGAAACAGTCATTCAAAGCTTCCAAGTTTTCCATGGTAATCTAGCTTCAATTGACTTATGATCTCAACTATTGAAATTACTATAATATTCACAAAAAACCCTTCTGATATTAATCAACATATGTTCATTAGTGACTGGATTTAAGAGATATTTCCTGAAGTTCTAGTGAGTTTAACTGGGTCTGTTGTGAGATAGTCACTCACTGATGACAATGGTAGATTAAACATGTCTACTATAATCATTGAAGCTTACCCTTTTGTTCTTTAATGGTAGTGGATAGTTATGGGAAATTCGAATTCGTCTAATAATGATCAAAACAATTGGATGACAGTTACTCCTAATGACGCTTCTATGCCTATGTTTGAACTATCACTTCGGTCTGTAGTCGAAAGACGACCTATTTTCCCTTCTAAAATTTCGTTCAATAATGGTCAATCATCCAATTTTATACTTCCGGCAGCGATAGTACCGGATTCTTCACAAAGCTTTGATCAAATACGCTACCAACCCTATAATACTAATTATTTTCCCAACGCAGTTCAGTAAATCAAGGGAGCGAAGTGGACAAGTGATTTTGTGGGTGTTCCAGTAACTGCTGGTGATAAATCATCTGTTGGAAATTCATCATGTCTACCTAACACTCATCAGCCAACGAACTTTTCATCAATTCAACAGCCTGCCAACTTCCTAAACAATTCAGTTGCACAGATACGAAATAATCCATCACATAATTCACCCCAGATATCTACAGAAGGGCAATTTGTTGCTTTGCATGATTACGTTAAACGTGTAGATGATGATTTGAATATGACCAAAGGACAAATATTTAATATACTCGATAATTCAGACTGTGATTGGTGGTATGCAGGATGTGTATCTACTGATAGTCGAGGATATGTACCCAAAAATCATTTAGCAGCTGTTACCAGTTTAGAATCCAATGAATGGTATTTTGGAGGATTGAAACGTATTGAAGCTGAACATTATCTTCAACTTCCGGGAAATGATCATGGCTCTTTTTTGGTTCGAATCAGTGAATCTCAATCCAGTGAATATTCTTTATCAGTACGAGAAGAGAATACTGTTAAGTACTATCGTATTCGACCAAGATATTCACGAACTGACCTTACATTAAAACGTTTATACATTTCAAGACAACTGCCTTATGTTAATATTCAACAGCTAGTCAATCATTATTTAGAGAATCAATCTGGTTTATGTTGTCGATTGGGCAGACCATGTATTCGACCAACTCATCCAGAACCTGTAGGTCTTTTACAAAAAACTTATTGATAAATGGGTAATTCCGAAATCTTCAACTATTTTGAAAGAAAAAATTGGACAAGGTTAGTTCGGTGAAGTATTTAAAGCTGTATAGAATAAAACATTTGTTGCTGTGAAAACGCTAAAGCCAAGTTCTTGTGATGCTGCTGACTTTCTTCGTGAAGGTCAAACAATGAAACGCATACATCATCCTAATCTGATACAATTGTACGCTGTTTGTACACAGATGAAACCTTTCTATATAGTTACAGAATATATGTACAAAGGTTCTTTACTAAACTACTTACGATCTCCTGAAGTTTATGCACTAGATAATGCAATGTTTAATTATGATGGCTGCTAAAATAGCTTCTGGTATGGCGTATCTTGAATCCAGGCGTCATTTTACCCAATTACTTTGTTTTGGTTTCAAGCGGGCAAGGGCGTGTATCTAACCCACCTAGACGGCTATTCTTCAGTCCAAACCTTAGTTTGGATCTTAAAGTTGAAGTTAGACATTAACATCGTTGGGTGTCGGCAAGCTCAATGGTCTAGAGGATAAGCGTTTACGCGCGAGATTGATATGTTTTGGGTTCGAATCTCGTGAGGTAGGTGCATGGATGCACATTGTTAAGGAGTTCCATACTAAGATGAAGTGGCCGTCTTGTTCTTCCAGGTTTTCCATAGTTATCTAGTTTTAATCAACTTACGAATTCAACTATTAAATAAAAATTTTAATCATATGATTTTATTGTAGATCTAAAATCCTGATAATTCAATGTGATAAACAACAAAATTTTTATATTCAAATTAATAAGACACATGTAAAATGGAGAAAGGTAAGTTTCGAGGGGTTTTCAGAACCGGGAATTTAAGAAAACGTAATCAAATTTATTAAATTCTTTTCTTTTTTCTGAAAATCTATGAGTGAATACAAGGATTCTTTGATATACGGATTGTTTTTCTCATTCTACATATTGTTTGTACTAGTTCATTGTGGATAAAAGAATCAATGATTTGAATATAATTTGTAATACTAACAATTAAGTTACAGGTTTGAATCGTATCATTGTTGAGTCGGCTTTCTAAGAATTGCAACGGAGCCTCCAGAGGTTCTAAAGGAGGCGAAGAGTCCTAGCCAATCAGAGCATGAGGGAGCTTTCTAGAATACCAACGTGGTGTGCTACTATTGGTCAGTAGCATAATCTATCTTTTAGCGGATTGACCAAAATATGATGTTGATTTAACAAATATTAACATCTATAAATACCCGTGTTTTTCTTGTACAAAAATGAACCTTTAGGGTAAAGTGTTTTTCGCTTATTTTGCGCCTTTTCTCTCCAGTTCAGGCCGCTGCGTAGTTCTAGCTTCCAGATTACCAGAATACTTTAGGAACCGAATAAAGCGTTCGAATTAACAAGACTTATTAATCCTAGAGAATATTTAACTGGTTTTCATTTTGTAGTTCATGCTAAGATTTTAAATTAAGTAGATTAAGTCTGATTGGTTTGACAATATAATGGAGTATAATCGATCATGCTTAGGATCTAAATGTATTTATCAGTATAAGGGTTGTGGAAATTATTAAGCTTTTGATTGAGATCATGAACTCATTGCTATTAGATCATCATTTAAAACCTGAAAGCAATGGACGACTGTTTCGTCCTATTGTGGGACTCCTTAGCAGTGCGTATCCACGATCTTGCTCGCGGAATTCGAACCCAGGGCGCGAGTGAGCGCTTAATCTCTAGATCACTGAGTCGGCATCCAACGATGTTAATGTATTGTCATATATCTTTAAATTTACTGGACTTGTTTAGCTATGTAATTGAACAGGATATGTAAATACTTGTTTCTTTTAAAAGTTTATCATGTTCAGTTTGTTTACAGTGTCTCTTTTTTTTTACTTCTAACGTTTACTGTTTTTATCAACAACAAAAAATGTAAAAAAAAGTAATTGAATTAGTGGTGAAATTTACATTGTATTCTGATTGTATCTTCATTGTTAACAATGTTGTTTATTTTTACACTCCCATATATACATATGACAATGTGTTTGAATATCTGGGCTATATATATATATATATATATATATATATATATATATAAACATTACAGAGAATACTAATATTGTACGGAACAGATAATACTGAACTAAGTGATCATTATTAATATTAGCGTTATTATACTTAGATATGAATCGATAGATTACAATATACTCAACCAATAATAATGGCAACGAAATAAATGTAAAGCAAAATCTAAGATAAATAATACTGTAAATTACAAGTGTTAAATTAATTTACAATATCTCATAATAATAATAATAATAATAATAATAATAATAATAATAATAATAATAAACAATATCACATAATGACTAGTGGCTAACTTTGAGGGTAGATCTTCGGAGTTCTACAAAGAAGCTATGACTAACGGAGTTCGACAATATCAGGTGTGCGACAAATATTGCGAACTGAATCAATTTAGAAAAGTATACGATTGAATGCCCAATCAGCTATCTTCAGATTAGGTAATTACTGCAGGTACAGTCGAGAGTGGGGAGAGTCAATTCCTTCTCTCTAAATGCTCTCATATAGCCACACGTATACAGCCACTGAAAGTGAAGTCCTACTCACTGTCTTCTCGCGACATTGTTGTTGTTTACGAAATTCAGAGGACGAAAAGCCAATTTCCGGCGCTTCAACTGGGTTGGTGGACACTCAGGTTTCACCTACGGGAGTTGGAAAACACTGATTTCAAAGCAATGGTACACATGGGCTGGCTCCAAAACAAATAGCGTATGAAGCAATTATTGGTCACTGTCCACCATGAGACTGCATCTCCTAACGTTGCCCCAGTGCCTTGTGGATCAGACTGTTAGGCCGAAAGCTCCGGGTGTGGCCCCCTAAGAAAACCGTCTGATTCGATTTGGGCACCCAGGCAGTATACCAGCCCTCACACAAATCGAATGATTTGTGTGACGCATATGTATTTGATGCCTCCTTGTACTAATGTTTATGTGTTTAAATAAATAAATAAATAAACACCTACTGCAGGGTCTGAAGGTCTTGGGTTCGATGTCTGATGGAGTCATGAATACATAGTTCTGAAGAGTATGATACTATTTTGAATAGGCTAACTATTGTCTCCTGAATTTCACTTGTCGATAAACTGGGATTTAACACTTCCAGCTCACTTATGCTGTTGTTTAAAGATAATAAATTTATATCAACTGAATAATTATAAACTGAGAAGCATTGACTAACCAATTCTTATTATTATGCAGTTCGTAGTAGTGGAAACTGACGGCTTCAAATAGGGTTGTGTGTAGAACTTGAAGGTTTCAGATAATTCAAAATTTAATTATGAAGCCAATCGTTTAAATTCTAGTTACTTCGATAATGTAAATCAATAATCATCCACAGTCGCTCACTTAAGACTTGATCTAGTTCACAAGTCATACTTTCCTACTAGATTATTCCAAAATTAGTTCTTGGATGAAAAATAATTATGAAATCGCTTATCTTGAATCAGTTAAACATAGAAATGAAGATAACAAATTAGAGATGAACCTGATTACTGCCTTTTAGAGAATTGTAATATATTTAATCCTGAAATTTACAATTATGCAAACATTCGTCAGTCCTTGAAGTCACTAACTTCTGGTCTGAGCCATGGTAATAGATACAGACTACTTGGCTGAAGCCCACGCGCCTATCGTAACCAATAGTTGGAGACTTTGTGTGACATGGCTCAGAACTGATCACAATAGCGTCAGTGTATACACTCTTTGTCTTCCCTTAAACTATGAGATTAAAATTGCTTTATATCTTTCTTTCTATCAAATAATTCTTCTTTATACACAATCTTTCATTTATATATTACTACCATTGACGTAACTCGTTCTATGAATTCGGTGTTCATCTTGTTGTACTAATGAAGTGTGGCAACTTGGACCGATGCAGATATATACCTCTACCTACATTGTAGCTGATTGACTGATTGACTGACATTTTTGACAATTTAATGCATCACTCTAATCATATTTATTATCATTGTATATATTATAAAATGACTAATACTAAGTATGTATATATGTTTGAACCTAACATTATGTGACCATGATTCAATAATAACAGTGCTTCTTATGTGAATTTCATACTAGTTTATACATGTTATTACAAATACTAAAATACAATACAAATAAAGAGAACTAATCTAAACAGTTCATATCATGAGTCAATTGAATCTAGACCACCATGGGAAACCTGGGAGCACTGGAGGGCCGTTTCGTCCTATTGTGGGATCCCTCAGCAGTGCGCATCCACGACCCCTCCTCACGGGATTCGAACCCAGGGCCTATCAGTTTCGCGCGCGAGTGATTAACCAATTAGGCCACTGAGCTGACCAGTATCCAACGGTGTTAATGTCTAACTAATCCACGAAATTGAGCGACACATCCACCATTGTGATCAGTGAGTTACTACCTCACAACTAATCTATTTTAATATAAGTTCATCCAATGGTTAATAAAATCATCTTTATATATGACATTACATTACACTATATGAACGAAATTCTAGTTTAGTTTATGCAGTACTTGATTACTTATAATCATTTTACTTAATTACAAACTGTTACAAAAAACTTCATCCCTATTGAATAAGTTAGTAACTATCTAGACTCAGTAGCTAAATGGTTAATACATTGAGTGTTTAAAGTGAAAGATATTGGGTTTGACTGCCAATATGAATATTAACACTAGTATTTGACTGGTACATCCAGATGATGATTCCAAAATAGCATAGAATATAGGTCATTGTTTTCATTTCTAATCGCATACTAAATATAGTGAAACTTATGTTATTAACATTAATATTTGTGTTTTGGAAGGAAAGAAAACATTGATAAAAAGTAATTCAGACGTATAATATTTATAGTGGGCAACTTTGAAGTAGATATACATATTGTTCGTACATTCGATGGCTGATATTCAAATGATATAGAGTATTTAGTTGACCTATTGA